AACATTTGCTATGATCAAATATTATCAATTACTTAGGACTGATTAACTGAAGCACAGTTCATGCTGGAGGCAATAGGGACATGCACACTGACCACAAAGTCAAATGCAAATATATTGCAGACATTATATGGTAAACTAAACTAATTAACTCACTACTGAAAACCAATTGAAAACAAAATGTGAACAATAACCTTAGTTAGTCCCGGGTTGAAGCACTTTAAAACCTGATGAATTAGTTCAACAAAACTGCCTTAAACTGTTTAAATTTCTTAACGCCAACAATTAAAGCATGAAAAAATATTTGATTTAGGTTCAAGTAACTAATTTATTGTTAAGTTATATGTACTTAAAACTAGTAAGTATATTACAGATTATATTACAGTATGTGAACAGAATTTATCTGAATAAAGTAACTTAAAAGCATCTTCTTTATACAAATGTCATCACCAAGTTGAATTTAAATTATTACATTGCCTGTCAAAACAGGATAACTGATTATCAAAATGGTAGCCAATACATCTGGGTTTTCCCACTAACATCAAATCTTTACACTTTGGGAGATCATTAAGAATTATTTGGATGCATTAATGATAAATAAACTGAAATAAAAATTTGAAAACTTCTGTTGTACAGCTTTATAATGCGTACACTGTCATAATGACATAAAGCCAACTTCAAGAAAATAGAGTCAATGTAACAAACTGGAATTATATTGCCTGTAATACTGCACACATTTAATTGCACTTGGAAAAAAAGTGAGTTGCTTCAGCAATTCATTTGTGAGTGATTCTAATTTTTTGGAGGAATAAGTCAGTTATGCTATGTTAACTTCTTTTATTAAGTCTTAATGATTTGATTCAACACAATGCGATTCAACGCACTTCAAAATGGTAGAGATGGCATTTCTCAGGCAAAGGGCTTCCTTGTATGTAAATAAAACAGATTTTACTGATGCAAAGACAATTCATCCCTAGTTCATCCTGTTTAACTGTATCTCATGCAATTGCATCTTGATCTTTTATGGTAGTGCACTGATGCAAATTGGTGAGTCTTATCATCCCTAATGAAGGCTACTCTACAGAGTCTCACATTGACTGTCCACATCATCAAACCCTCTTTGCTTCATCACTACGCTCCTCTGCTTCTTTCACTTAGCTTGTAGCAGAGGATCCGCTGCACAGCTGTAACTCTTACCCCCGCCTGCTTCACTCGCCTTTCTTTTTCCAGACACATCACATATTTCACGTCTCCCGAGTCAACTGAACTTTTACTTTGCATTCCGCTCTGCTGACTCAGTGAAATGACTTGAATCCTCTGCCTGTGATGTTTTATTCTCCTCCACTCTGTTTTGAAATGGTTGATAAGTGACGCATCAAAGACAGTCTAGTGTATCCAAAAACCTACTGTGCCCATACAGCGGCAGTGTGTTTCACACCCCCTTGGTCAGATTACCATCTATTGAAAGTTTGCGGAAAACAAAAAGACCTGAGACCTGACACTACACAAGAGTGGTACAATGAGAACAAACAATAGTAAATCTCCTGTACACAGACACAGAGATGATTTAGGGGGCATTGCCTGGCAGCAGTAAGTGATAGGCTTCTGAGGAAGGGGCAGCAGCCGGCTGGTGGAATGCGAACATGCGCTGGCGCTACACACTGAAGCAAGGAGGGATTTTACTCCCTGTCTGGTCCACTTAGCAGCTGGCCTTACTTGGTAATGCTGGATAAGTCTCAGCTCCACTCTCCTCAGTCAACAGCAGCTTACTGTGTCTACGTTTACAAAGGCTGGTTAAAAGAAAGCAAAAGGGGAAGTGAAAAGGAGCAGTGACAGAAGTAACTCAACCTCCAGGAGGGAGTGTTACTCATCTTTCCCTGGGAGCAAGAAAAGACTAGCACACGAGTTGTGGTGAAGAGAGAGGGAAGGAGTGGCATGGGTGGATGCTGGTAGGAGGCTCCTTCTCATGTAGACAGTTTCTCATGCACCCAGAGTCCTAGCTTAAAAACATTTTGGTCTTTTTAATCTCACTGCCTTTCTTCAGAGAACGTTACCAATCCAAATTTCAAGTTTTCAGCCTGACGATGTCAGGGACATGTGGAATCTAATGTGGAAATACTGCATTTCAGTGCGGACGATAAGGTAGGGGGATCCTGTTACAGAGCTCCAAAGCATGATGGTGCACTGCTGGGAAAGCCATCAGGCTTACGCTGCTCCGTGCGCTGAGGGAATACTCGCTCTGTTTTTAATATATTTGGACACCTGTACTAGATCTGGGGCTGGAACGCAGCATTACTTACATGAAGGGTTTGTGGTTTGCTGTCTGGGGTTTCTTTTAACTGACTGTTAAAAAATTTTGACTTTATAAAAGTTGTGAAAAGTTTTTGCTTTATGACTTTAATCAGATCATCACATCATGGGTCAAGATCCAACCTTGTTTCAGTCCGTTCTGATTGCAGCTGCTACTTCTGCCAATAATTTTTTGATTATTTGTTTAGTCTACAGAATGTCAGAGAATGTGAAACTTGTCAGAGCCCAAGTTGATTTCCTCAGACTGCTTTTGTTACTTTTGTCCAACTAACTCTTCAAAACCCCGAATGTGTACAGTAATGTAAAATAAAAAAAAGTTTCACATTGTCACATTTGGGAAGCTGTATCCAGCAAAGATTTGGCATTGTTGCTTGATAAACAAAATGATAAAATAGTTGAGGGGTTTCCAATCATTAAAGACTTCTTGCATGTTGCATATGTCTACTAGTTATGACCAGTTTTTTCTCTTGTTTTGTTAGAATAAGTCTTAGTGTCCCGAAGAAGTAGAATAATTCCGTAATTTGAAAGAAAGAAAGCAAAGATTAGAGGGAAGTCTTAAAAAAATAGGCGTAACTTTGTGAAGTATTCATATGTTTTTATCTTCTGTTAATCATCTTGCAAATTCTGAATTAAACGGTTGATTATTAAAATATTTCTATATTCCCATTCATTTTCTGCTGACCAACTATTATTAATGGACTGTTTAAGCAACGATTTAGATGAAAAGGTGAATTACATGGATAACCATGTAGGGAATTTTTGCTATAGTAAATGACAGGAAGATGATTTACTGTATGTTACTCACAACACTTCTCGTTTCCATGTGGTGTTCAATAAAAAACTGTTCTGTGCTACTGAGAACAGTACACCAGTTGAAACAGGCCATGAGAGATGCTGTAGGGGACGGGTTAAAGCATTAATGGTTCCACACAGTGATTTCACCACAGCAAAGGCTAAAATTAGTGGCCATTGTGGCGAGAGCAGCCTGAGTCAGCAGTAGCCAATCACCATTCATAAACTCCTCTGGTCTGTAATTCCAGTCTCCGCGGGTCGGCCCGCCACAGCTCGGAGTCCGTGCTTTAATACAGAAATGTTCCTCCCTCTCAGCGAGTCCCGTCATTTTATTGAATTACTGATCCCCGTCTGGTACAGTGCACACGCACTGTCTTGTGTAACTTGGCCATCAGACATTTTCCGTCTCTGCTGATTTCTCATGAATGCCACAGTTACAGGGTTTTTCCTCTTGGCTTAGAGTCCCTACTGTCTGCTCTGCTAAAAATTACCACACAGTCACTCACACATGTACACTGTACAAAGAGGGCTGAAGTTTAATGTGTGGTATTTTTTAAATAGCTAGCTTAAATTATCCATGTCCTTATTTACAGTTCATTTTCGTGTCACGATAAGCTAAAAAAGGCTAAAACGCTCCCCTCAGCTGAGGGGAACTGCAGAGTTGGCTGATAATTCTCTGTGGCCTCGTCATACAAGCAAGAACTTTCATATTACACACAGTCACTCAATCCACTGTTAATAAAATTATTGATTATTGCAGATGTAAAGTGTACTTTCTCATTTTAAGTCCCTAAAAACATGGCACCAATCACACTGAATTTAGTTTACATTCAACCTGACATGTTAGTTGATTTCTGTTTGGGAGCAGGTATTACATTTTAAAATTCATTTATTTTGCTCTAACCAATCAGAAGTGAGTGATGTATTTGTCCCTCCTTTGTAGTTTTTAGTTGACACAGTAGCAGTATTGATTGTTGTTTATGCGACTGAACAATTTACAACAATCTGTAAGCCACGTTGATCTCATCCTCGCTTGTCGCCATTTTTCTGTGGCTTTTTCATGGATGAAGCTCAGCAGCCAGCTAGCTATGTAGGAAGATAACATACTCATCCCTCATCCCATATACAGAGCTCTGATTGGTCAACTTTCTCCAGCAATGGGCATAATTGCAGATCTATCTGAATAGCTGAGCAGATTGGAGATGTGGGCAGTGGCTCAGAGGTCTGTGTTGGTGTGGTTTGATCAGATGTCATGTACGGTGGCGTCTCTCTGGCAACATAAGCAAACAGTCCTGCCACCAGATTCAGGTTCCAGTGAGAACAGCCAAAACACGAATACAGAAATCTCTCATGTGAAGTAACCAAAAACAGTTTGAACCTTGGTTGAGCAGGAAGCATGGCTACTGTTCTCTGTCTGCTTTACACACCTAAGGCCTTTCGCAGTGTTATTGTTGTGACTGACAGATTGACCCTTTGATAGCACTCTTCTCTGAGCGAGAGGAGGCGGCAGTGTCGTCTTCCTGCAGTACATTCCTGAAGACAGGAGTCATAGCTCAATAACTCTGCTCTGCTCACATGCAGGTCTTGCACTTCTCTGACCCTGCTGCTCTGTTTTTTCTCCCAACTAATGCTTGACTACATACCAATCCCATCTGTATGTGTGTGAGAGAGAGCAGTTTTCCCCCCTGTTTACTATCTGTAGGGAATTTTTCAACCTGCTTTGCTGGAGCTGTTTTGTAATAAATTCTCCTTAAAGAGCCAGGCTTCACAGCAGACGCTGCCCTATTTGAACTGCAGACTGAACTCTTTCAAGGGCTCGGTGCACGCAGGCCCTTTAAAAAGGTTTGCCAGTGAAACAGTAGAGGCTGGTGGAATCTGATCTGGCTATTTCTCCTCCAAGCCAAAGGAGAACAGGGTATTATTTATTCAAGTTGGGGACTCAGACTGGAGTTGAAGCTGCCAGTTTCGAGGTGACCTACGTGACTGTTTGTGTGCATCCTGTCCTCCCGGCCAACCCGAGGAGAGGAAGTACAGTATCTCTGCTGAACTCGACAACAAATTGTCTGGTGTCTGGACGACTATTCCAGCCGTGCTAGCTTCCCGGCAAGAGAGAAAGCACAGGGGATCAGAGCTGGCGGTTTGTCTGTGCACAGATGAAGCAGGACTGACCTGGCCTTCCAACAAGACTGCACTTTAAAGGTAAAGTCAGATGGGGTGGAATTAGAGGGCCTTGTGTAAACAGAAGAGAGCAGTCAGTCAGCTGTTTGGCCGGGCGCTCTCTGACAGCTCTGTACTGTAGCCAGTAAAGAGCGGCAGCAGTCTCTCAGGACGAGCCTCCTGCTCTGCTGTAGGCAGAGAGGGTTTTTTTACACAGAAAACAGAACGTGGAGGCAAGCAGCACGAGGGGAGAGTTGAAAACATATGGTGAGTGCAGGTCTGATTCTTTAGTAATCAGCTGAGCAGGTTATGCAAGGAAATGACAGATATTATTAGACTTTTACTGGCTCTGAAATCATGTCACTTTTCATACTTGCTGAGAAAACTGCATGCTGTGCTCTCTCATGCTCTCATGTGTTGGGACATCTATCAGTGAGGCTGGCATATGCGTTCAATCGATTACAAGGTCACTTTATTTCAGCTGCCATTCCTTTGCAATTTCACACTTTTAGTCCTCAGTATGTAAAGAATTCTTTTCATGCTGCTTGTCAGATCTGATCTGGTTATGTAAAAGCTAATGACTGTGTGTCCCTGCGGTGATGGACACAGCAGGTCGGGCACGGGAAGAGTTCTATCTGCTCGCAAAGATTTAATCTGTGTTTCTTTTGGACAGTGTGAACACCAGGAGGGTACCGTAAGCTCTGCAAAAGGTAGTGCTTTCATGTTGCTTGTTGTCTCACTGAGCCAGCATTGTAATTAGCTGTTATAAATATTTCAGCGTTGCAGTGTCTTATTTCCACCTGTAACTCGATTCGAGCTCTCTTTCCCAGACTCCCAGTAGATTTGTAGTGTGTTTATTTGTCTTTAGTTTGCAGTTTGAGTAAATATGAATCTTTATGAATGAAAGCTTTTTTTGCACATATATACAGCACTCAACACCAGTAAGGAATTTGGACTTTTATTTCTGCAGTATTGGGAGATTAAGCCATAATGTTTCAGTTAGACAGAAATATCATCTTCCTTTATTGCTCTACATACATGCTTGGATGGAATTTTAATGGATTTAAATTGCCATAACGATGAATAAATGTCACCATAATAACTTAGATGTCATTGTAGCTCAGGCAACTGCTGCACTCTGAGTCCTTTTTAATCACTGTCAGGTCCTTTAATTGGCCACGTCCTAGCATCAGTGGTGACCCGTGGCTCGGTCAATAATGACCGGACAGTGGCCGGGGCGGTCAGGGACGCATTTGCCACCTGGGGTCCTCCGGCATCTTTTATGCATTTCCGAGAGGCTGAGCTCATCCAACATTAATGGCCACAGTGGCCCTCAGCGCGGATCACTCCATCTCAGCCAGCTAGGCTCTGACCCCGGGCTGTCAGTGGTCCAGGGGGGCACCTCCGGCCCGGCCCTGGCTGCTGTGTGTGGCACACCGAAGCCTAACTTCACCCTGACTTCTCCCTGACTCTGATAACAGCAATGTGCCACCTGCTAATGGCACTCTGACGGATTAGAGACACAGCAGTGCTCTCGCAGGATCCTGCAACCACTTAAAATCTAAGCTATTGGCCATATTCACCATGACCTTTCTCCTCCAAAGTGCTTCTCCCAGTATGGCATCTGAAAGTCCATTATTTTCTCCTCAGGAAGAGTTCCGCCTCCACCTTTGTAAATTCAGAAAGGATTGCTAAATTCCACCTAACAGCTGGAAGCAGCACCCGCCAGATTGTGGCCGTGTGTGTGCATAACTAACCCCAAACACAACATGTGTGGATATTTCACCCAAATGCGGTGTGAAAGAGGGTTTCATCATTATGTCAGCACAGAACGGAGCATGCACCGCTGCCAACATCTGGCCGGTCAGATGTGTAATTCCTAAAAACATCACTGTTTCACTCATTAAGCCACAAGCAAGTCAAGTGGATTGTTTGGGGAAGGAAACACAAGATGGTCTTTTTCTCATTTAAAATGATTTAAAGGGCTCTGCCTTTGATTTAAAATCAAAACAGTGTAAATGTTATTTCTCTGTATGGCATTTTATACCAATCTTAGAAAGTGCTGCTGTGCACACTGCAGCTTTTGGCAATCTGAGCCAAAGAAAACACATAAAGGTCATTAAAATTTACTAAACACAACTAAATCAAATCAACTCTCAGGAAATATTGTTTTTCATTATTGTAATTTTGTTCACATAATGAAAATAAAATGAGATTGCTTTAAAAATGACAAACAGAAGGAAGGTTTGTTACTCCAAGACCAGCTCACACACTATGTTGTTAATAATGTGCAGCCCCATAGCTAATCAATGGGGGGCTAATGGCTCCTGGAACACCTCCTGCTACTCACCTACGCCCTTTGGCCAAGCATTGTGGGGAAAATATCCATCATTGATAGTATTTACTCCGGGGTTTTGTTTTTGCCCTTTAATTGTATCAGCCAGGAGCTGCACTTTATAGCCAGGAGATGAAGATTGCTGTTGAGGAAAGGCATGTTGTTGGCGATGATTTGGATTTTGAACAAACAGTGAGGAGGGTGCTGGGATGGGAAGTCATTATGCCTCTGGACCTGTCACCAAGATAAACGCCTGTATGTTTAGAATTCTAACAGCTTCCGGTTTCACCTAGCCAATTAATCCAAATTATTATTTGTGCAAAAAGCACTTTAATAAGTAATTATCGCTCTTTATTTGCCAACAAGTTATTACCCCCTTCAACCTCTTTTTTTCCTGTTCTCCACCTTCCTCAGACAGACCAGCCTTTAACCCCTCTCCCCAATTCTCTTCCTCTCTCCCTTGCCTCCTCCTCTTCCTCCTCCTTTATTATTTGTGGCTGAAGTCTGCAATCAATTAGTATGAGAGAGGGCCCAATCAATTCCTGCTCATTTGCAATTCCTCCCCGTTAAACACTTTCTTTTATTACCAATGTCATAATTAATGCAGAGGAGATTGAGAAGACGGGAGGGAGGAGGGAGAGGACTCAGTAGAGGGAGGTTGGAGTTGGCAGGGGAGGCATTTCTGTGTGTGTGTGTTATCGTGTGGTTGCTCCCTGCCTTTATCATCTTCTGTTCATCCAGACTGCAGTCATCCACAACAACAGCCCCACTAATTGTATATTTGGTGGGCCATGCTCACACATGCACTGTACATTAACCTCTGCTGTGAATAAATGGTCTTAGAGGCTTTGCAGCCATGTCAAAATTTAGCAGTCAGCATGTCCATACATTTTTGCTAGTTAGTAGATTGTTGTTACAGGACAACGTACACTATTCTGCATAATGATAGCTGTCTTGTGTTCCTCACATTTTGTGTCCACTAATCAGAATTTTGGGGGTTCGATCCCCGGCTCC